ACTTGTGTGTTGGAGTTTGAGTGAACATAAGTTTTCAACTTATTTGGGTAAACAGAAGTATGATTGCTGAGTTATACGAGAACACAGTTAGCTTTGTAAGAACATGCCAGGTTCTCTTCCAGATTGGCTGTCCCATGTGTCGTTCTCACCAGCAATGACTGACAGTCCCTACTCCACATCCTTCCCAGCATTTTTGGATTTTGCTCACTCTAATAGGTATATAGGTGTATCTCATTGTTGCTTTAATTCTCTAACGATGTATGTTGAGCATATTTTAATGTCCTTATTTGCTGCTTGTATGTCTTCTTTGGTGAAATGTTTGTTCATATCTGTTGCCCATTTTTTCAATTGAGTTTTCATGATGCTTTTTAAGAGTTCTTTGTATATTTTAAACACAAGTCTATTATCAGGTATGTTTTCTCCCAGTCTGCAGCTTGTTTCTTCATTCTCTTAACAACATCTTTTGCAGAGAAGTTCTTACTTCTAATGAAGTTCCATTTATCAACTTTGCCTTTCATGGATCATGCTTTTGGCATTGTATCTAGTTATCACCAAACCCAAGGTCACCTAGATTTTTTCATATGTCATCTTTTAGAAGTATTATAGCTTTGAATTTGATATTAAGGTTGTAGCTCCCCCATTCGTGGAGGAACGACACAGGACCCTGCACTGTTCTTTTGTCTGCTCGGCCCTTCCCGGGTTTGCTGCTGGTCCTTCCCGGGTTGGCTGCCGATCCTTCCACCTCCGTGGAAGGGCGGCTCCTCCTGCCACTTTCCCCACTTCCGTGGGGGAGCGGCACACCGCCGGCCGGCTCTCTCGGGGGCTGCTCAGATGTTATCCGGATGTTCCCCTTAGATGTTCCTGGTGCATGTTGTCTCTCTCCTCCTTTATAGTCCTCTTCCACCAATCCCAACTCTGCTACCCACATGCCGAGTACGCTGCTCTCCTCCAATCAGGATCAGCTCCTGCAGGTTATTGTTCGAACTGGAGGCAGCTGTGTAGAAGTTATTTACTCCTCTCCCAGCGCCATATTGTGGGAGAGCAGATGCATAGAATAAGTCTTAATTCCAGTAACTTAGTCTAGTCCGAGTTGCTCCCCACAAAGGTCAATGATCTATTTTGAGATAATTTTTTGTGAAGGATGTATGGTCAGTGTTTAGATTATTTTTGCCTCTGGATGTCCAATTGTTTCAACACCATTTGTCTGTTATATACTTCATTCTAATATTTTCTGCTAACTTATTTGATTCTCTCTTCAGCAGGATCTATTTTGCTGCTAAAACCCAACACTAAGTTCTTAATTTTGGTTTTCCGTTTTTTTTTTTTTTAATTGAGAATTTCTATTGGGTTATTTTCCAAATCTATTTTGCCAGTTTTTATAATTACCAGTGCTAACATTTTTAATTTGAAGTTTTATCTCCTTAAACACAACAAATATATTTATTGGAAAATTCATGTCTAATAATTAGAATATCTGAAGCACCTGAGGATCTATTTCTTTTTTTGGACAGGTAGAGTTATAGACAGTGAGAGAGAGACAGAGAGAAAGGTCTTCCTTCCATTGGTTCACACCCCAAATGGCTGCCACGGCCGGAGCTATGCCGATCCAAAGCCAGGAGCCAGGTGCTTCTTCCTGGTCTCCCATGCGGGTGCAGGGCCCAAGCACTTGGGCCATCCTCCACTGCCCTCCCGGGCCACAGCAGAGAGCTGGACTGGAAGAGGAGCAACCGGGACTAGAACCAGGCATCTGTGTGGGATGCCAGCGCTGCAGACAGAGGGTTAACCAAGTGAGCCACAGCACCAGCCCCAAAGATCTATTTCTATTTTTAAGTATTTCTTCTAGCTCTTGTTCATGTCAACTTATCTTTTCATGTACCTCTTTGATTGTGGGCTGGCCATCACATTTCTAAACTGTTTGAGGAATCGTTCAAGACTTAGGGTCACATTTGTTTCCGCCAGGTGTATAGGGACACCTGCATTCTGAGTACCACATGGCTGGAGCACCTGACACCTGCATTATGGTATCATTTTGACTCAACAGTGGTGCTTGAGATTTATTGGATGGCCTAAATTACTCGGAAGCAAACAGCAATCCATGTTAGGGACGGCTTACTTGTGGTTTCACATTTATACTCCACCCAAAGCTGGTTCTTGATCCACTTGGTTAACCCAGAATATAAGGAGATTACCAAGGGTTCCAACCTCTGGCAGGACCTGAACTCCAGTGATTCCCCTGTCCACTCCCACAGGCCCAAAAGCTCTCAGCAACACTGCTTTGCCTTTGAGCTGATCTTCTGTAAATGGAAAACACCCAAACACTAGCACCATTTCTCGAAATTTTCACCTGCTTTTGGATCTTGCTCTGGCAATTTTCATTAAACCTGGTGTATTGCCAGTGTCTTCAAGTACAAATCTGTAATATTTTATTTATTCTCAGTGGGAAAGGTGATGTTAGTTACCTAATTTGTCATTTTTGAAGGCAAAAGTCAGAATAGGAACTTTTATCCTATGAATTTTGCAAATTCTTTGCTTCTTGCAGTCTTTAATACAACCAATATTATTTGAGTACTATATTGTGCACAGAGTCACTACTCTACCCCTGTTAGAACACTAGGGCTGGGTTTGATTCTTGAAGCAGTGTCTCCTGCCTGGAATAATTTGTTAAATTGAATCAATTGGTCTTTTCAGATGCTTTGCTGATTATTCATACCAAAAACTGATTATTTTAAATAAATCAAATTTCATTCTTACATAAGTATCATTAAAAACACCTTCCTTTCCCTTTCCTGTTTGCTTTTAACATTACATAGTTGCTACAAGGAATGGCCTGTATCTACTTTATTGTCTTATTTTATTTGGCCCTATTATGTCATTTATTAGATTTTAAAATGATCTTTATGCTTTCCAGATGTGCCTATGGCATACCCCACCCTGCCCATACACACATGTGCACACACAAGGGTACTTCAAAAAGTTCACATAAAATATATTATAACAAGCATATGCATGGAATCCAAAAGTGTTTTACCCCAAGATAAATTTATCTTTTAATTCCATTACCCATGAAATTTCTTTTTTTTTTTTTAAGATTTATTTATGTATTTGAAAATCAGACCTACAGAAAAGGGAGGAGAGATAGAGATCTTCCATCTGCTGGCTCACTCCCCAAATAGCCACAACAGCCAGGGCTGGGCCAGGATGAAACCAGGAGCCAGAAGCTCCATCTGGGCCTCCCACATAGGTGCAGGGTCCCAAGCACTTGGGCCATCTTCTGCTGCCCTCCCAGGCACATTAGCAAGGAGCTGGATTGGAAGCAGAGCAGCTGGGACCTGAATTGGTGCCCATATTGAATGCTGGTGTTGTAGGTAGCTGTACTCGCCACACAACGCTGGCCACTCCATGAACTTTTTGAAGTAACCTCATGTATGTGGTAACATGATGATTTAACATTAATTTATTTTGAAAATAGCATGACATTTCTTAGGAACAACTATGATACCTAGCTCAACCACGGCTGGGAACTATAGGCTATATTATACTAGCTAGAAAGTAACTTTAAAATTCCTCTATCCAAAGCAATAGGGATTTTTTAAAATGTGTGCCTCTTTAATTTCAGTGTTTTTCTTTCACTAAGTAGCCATGTGTAGAACTATGTGGTATTTCATTGCTTTTTTTCTGTGGGGAAATAGTCTAATTCACCACAAGCCTACACTGTCTATCCTGGAGAACTTCTCCAGTGATAATACCTGTTCTTTGGGACCAACAATAAGGGAAGTAGGAGCCAGATAGAGTCTTCACAGCTTGCAGTGCAGAAATATTTTCTGGGTTGCAAATTTTAGGGATCATATCTACAACAACAATTACTCTGGGAGAACCTCCTCATCTCCCAGATTCGGCCAGAAGGCCACTGCTTACATGTCTATTATATATTTCCTCTTAAGAAATGTCATAATTTTTGCTCAATGCTGCTTTCCAAGCTGGACTTGAAATCTTAGTGCCAAACGCAATATCTGTGATGACCTCAAAAAACAGAAAGCGTGAAGCAGCATTTAAGTGGATTTCCATACTCTAAGTAAGGGTAAGCTGGATTTTTCCTCTAAACCTCCAGAAAAAAGTAAACATCCTCTATTCTGGATTCTCTCCTAGCCAATGTGTCTTAGATTCTGATCATATGGTATGTGTAGGTACAACCTGTCCTCATCTCATCTCTGGAACCACTGGTATAGTCAGCACCACTGACCAAAGACAATCAAATTTGTGGTTCCTTTTGGTACTGAGTATCCCTCTGCTACCCAAGAAAATGCTCCCTGGTAACAAAACCAACTTTCAGGCACTAAGAGGATGGGCAGCCATCCCTTCTCATTTCCTCAATTTCCCCCTCCATCCATTCCCTCATCTTCCAGCTTCTCCCTTGGAAGCACACCACCAAAGACTGACCAGAGCAGTTGGTGGGGGGCACTCTCACTAGTGTACACTGTGATAGATAAGGAACTCCAGAGGACTCCATAAGGTTGGTGGAAGTAGGGGTCTCTAAGTGAGTGAAGAATTTTTCCAGTGATATTAACTGTTCTTGGCAGGGCTTAGAAAAAGCCTGTCACATCAGTAAGCAGTTACGCTCCATCGTTCTATGATGCTACCACTCTATCTCCCCTCGTTCTGGGGTGGTGCCAGGTCTTCCACTCAGTCTGTGCATCAGAACTCAGCATTTCTTCTCTCTGAGCCTCAGTTCATCAACAGAACAGAAATAATAACCAGACAGGTTTGCTTTAAGGATCAGTCTGGTCATTCTAAGAATGAAGCAATGTGTGAGAGTGCTTTGCAAATGTACAGTGACATCCCAATTTTATATTACCAATGCTAATTAATTGTGCATAGAGTTTCAAATTACAACATTATTTTTTTTTCAAGAGGACAGAGTTTCTACGAGGGATGTGATGAATAAAATCCTAGGTTTTTGAACATGAACTCAACGTACGTGCCAAATTCCATACAGTGCTTACCTTGGGAGGTTTCCTGCATGATGAGAAGAAAGAATTCAGTGGCAGAGACACGGAGGGTTGTTAACACAGCAGCCACATCAGAGCACAACAATGAAAGAGAAAAAGACAAGGGAAATTCAGTACCTTGATAACATGATTTGAAGCATGTTCTACTTCATAAAGATCTGAAGCCAAGTTCAAACACACTCTTATGTGAAGTGATAAATTCTTACTTACTCAAAAATAAACTTGTTGTGAGCATAATCTATTACTTTCCTGATTTAGTAGAATGGATCCACGCAGTTATTCTGAAATATTTTCACTGATTTTGAGGAATGCCAATGGAAGTACATCAATTTAAAGAAAGATGCTATAATTATTACTGCATGGGTTAAGTACTTTAAAAGCAATTTTCATATTTAAATTTTTTCTTAAGCTGATTTTAAAAACACATGAACATTTTCCTTTGATAGATACATATACTGTATATATACAGGAATTTTTCTCACTTAAAAACCAATGTTCCAAAGATAATTTTTTATCTATTTCAGTCCTGAACAGAAATTTAAGCAAGTTACATCCCCAGCATCCACACATGCACTTTTTTAAATGACTGTTTCTGCACATTAATAATTTAGAGATAACTGTAACTGTGCCTGGAGAAAACTCTAAAAAGGAAAAAGTTTTTAAAGTAACAAAATATTAGGTTGAAGGCCGGCGCCGCGGCTCACTAGGCTAATCCTCCGCCTAGCGGCGCCGGCACACCGGGTTCTAGTCCCGGTCGGGGCGCCGGATTCTGTCCCGGTTGCCCCTCTTCCAGGCCAGCTCTCTGCTGTGGCCCAGGAGTGCAGTGGAGGATGGCCCAGGTGCTTGGGCCCTGCACCCCATGGGAGACCAGGAAAAGCACCTGGCTCCTGGCTCCTGCCATCGGATCAGCGCTGTGCGCCGGCCGCAGCGCACCGGCCGCGGCGGCCATTGGAGGGTGAACCAATGGCAAAGGAAGACCTTTCTCTCTGTCTCTCTCTCACTGTCCGCTCTGCCTGTCAAAAAAAAAATATATATATATATATATATATATTAGGTTGATTTGCTTTGTAAATATGTTCTTTGTGTACAAAGTTAAGGAGATAAATCACAACACCTAAGGCATTTGCTTCCTTTGATAGCTCTTGACCTTCTGATAGTTATTCTTGATCAAACTCTGATATCATCAATTCATTAATTGGAAGGTCGTTGTAAGAGGGAAATGGGGGTTGTGTTCCATGGCTTTTATCTTTCTTCATAGGGAAGACTCATGGGGATGAGAAAATGGATTTTCCAGGGCAGAAGGTATTGGAATCAAAAGGTAGAAGCAAAACAGCAGTATGCCCTTTCTCTGTCTCTGGGTTCACCACTCCTCACAGAGCTCTGAGGAACCTGAACAAAACCCAGAGTTCATATGGAAGCTAAAGGAGTTGATCTCATAGAAGCAGAGAGTAGAGCAGTAGTTGCCAGAGGCTGGGAAGAGTAGGGGGAAAGGGAGATGGAGAAGGCTGATGAATGGGTATAAAAAATACAGATAGGAGGATAAGTTCTAGTGCTCTAGAGCACAGTAGGGTAACTATGCTTAACAATAGTTCATTGTTCATCTCAAAATAGTGAGAAGACAGGATTTTTGAATCTTCCCAACCAAAAAAATAAAAATAAAAATAAAAAGAAGAATGCTTCTTGAGGTGATAGATATGTGTTAATCACCCTGATTAGATCCCTGCACATATATACATATATTACACTGTATCCTGTGAATATGTGCAATTATTATATGGCAATTTAAGAAAAAAACCCAGCTCCTAGCAGCAGGTAAAGAATGACTATTAATTCCACAATGAAGTGGACAATTCTACTCTTCCAAAGGCAGGTAGAGAAAACCATGACACTCCTTTAATGATGAAGCTGAAATATCATTTTCTTAAAATTCTATGAATTGGCTGAAAGGAAACACACCGTATGCCTTATGTCATTACCTCATTCAGTTAGGAACAAAGAGAAGGTAATTCTTTAGAAGGGAGCTCAGTCTATAATAACCAAGTGTCTCTGGCTGCTATAAGGCATGTCTCAACATACTAGTGGAAGACTGTGTTGTGTATGTGTGTGTGTGTGTGTGCATGTCTACCCTCTGAAACAAGATAAACACTTATAGATGTTATAATGAAGATTTATGAGAGTGTTTAATCCTAAGGAAGCCATGAATTTCCATTCTGTACCTAACAAAGCTTGAGATTTCTGCCAACAAAATTCCCTTAAGTAGAACCCTACCCTGGAAGACATTCGTTACTAACAGGGAGAAAAATTAGAAAAACTTTATGCATCACACGTTTGACTAAGCCTTCTCTTATTTAGCTTGGTTTATCTTTTTTAAAACTGTATTTGGGGTGGGCATTTGGCAAAGTGGCTAAAACACTGCTTGGGACAAGCACATCCCATAGCAGAGTGCCTGGGTTTAAGTTGTGGCTCTGCTCCCAATTTAAATTTCCTGCTACTGGGAGGCAACAGGCTCAAGTATTTGGATCCCCATCACCCCTGTGGGAAAGCCAGATTGAGTTCTGAGCTCCTGGCTTTGGCCTGGTCCAGTATTAGCTGTTTCAGACATTTGGGAAAGGAACCATTGGATGTGTCTCTCTTTGTCTCTCTGCCTTTGAAATTAAAAAAAAAAAAAATAGTGTAAAGCAAAAACCTGAATTTGAAAAAAAAAAAAAAAACACCTTTATTTGACAAAGAAAAGTCACTTGGGTTACATAAGGCAAAGGCATGAAACAGTATGGACTAATTTAACAAAATACATGCTTCCTACTTCCTACATGCTTTGATGAACCAAATAGCCCAAAGGGGGTGGGACAGGCTAATGGGAATCCCAAGGAGCACCCCAGAATTCCTGTGTGTGCCCTAGAAAAATCAATGCTACCTACTTTACTTTCTAGGCACTTCAAAGGAGTATCTACTTCATTTAGAAAGATAGCACATTGCATGGGAATAGCAATATAGATCTGCTACCTTCTTTTGCACTCTAAGGACTACGTGGATGAAGATTGGGCAGCAGAGGAAAAGCAAAGTTCAGCCACAGGAAAGCTCACCCTAATGCCCACTTACTCATCACCCAGTTAAGAAAGAGGATTCTCACAACGGAAGGAAAGTAAGTCATTTCAGATAACACAACTGTACTTTCTTGGGGTGTAAAAAAGATGATAGTAATGGATAGCTAAGTCAACCTAATCTAAAACAACTTTACTGTCCCAGTACCTGGAGGCTATTTTCCATTCTTTGGTAGTGGTGAAAAAAAAAAAAATTCTCCTATGTTAGTAATACTGATACTATAATAAAATATAGAATCCTCTGAAAAAGGACTATCCTTTGAAAAAGAGCTCATGTGATCAGCGCCTGGCACTGTGGCGCAGTAGGTTAATCCTCTGCCTGAAGTGCTGGCATCCCATATGGGTGGTAGTTCTAGTCCTGGCTGCTCTTCTTCTGATCCAGCTCTCTATGGCCTGGGAAAGCAGTAGAAGATGGTCTAAGGGGTCGGCACCGTGGCTCATTTGGTTAATCCTCCGCCTGTGGCACCAGCATCCCATATGGGTGCTGAGTTCTAGTCCCGGTTGCTCTTCTTCCAGTCCAGCTCTCTGCTGTGGCCTGGGAGGGCAGTGGAGGATGGCCCAAGTGCTTGGGCCCTGCACCCGCATGGGAGACCAGGAAGAAGCACCTGGCTCCTGGCTTTGGATCGGCATAGCTCCGGCCGTGGCGGCCATTTGGGGAGTGAACCAACGGAAGGAAGACCTTTCTCTCTGTTTCTCTCTTTCCCGGTCTATAACTCTACCTGTCAAAAAAAAAAAAAAAAAAAGAAGAAGAAGAAAAGAAATAGATCCTCAGGTGCTTCAGATATTTCTAATTATTAGACATGAACTTTCCAATAAATATATCTGTTGTGTTTAAGGAGATAAAACTTCAAATTAAAAAATGTTAGCACTGGTAATTATAAAAACTGGCAAAATAGAGGCGCCTGGCTCCTGGCTTCAGATCGGCGCAGCACCAGCCATAGTGGCCATTTGGGGAGTGAACCAACGAAAGGAAGACCTTTCTCCCTGTCTCTCTGTCTATAACTCTACCTGTCAAATAAAAAAAAAAATTTAAAGATGATGGTCCAAATGCTTGGGCTGCTACACCGGCATGGGAGACCCAGAAGAAGCTCCTGGCTCTGGATCAGCCCAGCTCCAGCCATTAGGGGCTATTTACAGAGTGAACCAGAGGATGGAAGACCTTTCCCTCCTTCTCATCATCCATAACTCTACCTCTCAAATAAATAAATAAAATCTTAAAAAAAAAAAAAAAGAACTGATGTGATCTTACAAAGTTTAAAAAAAAAAGATCTCACAGGCAAGTGCATAAATTATGAAATAACTTCACAGGAGGCCACCAGACTGAGATGGCTCCAACCGCCTGGGTTTCTATGTAAACAAAATGAAACCCAAGTTCAGCCAATTAAAAGCAGCCAACTGGGTACTAGTTATATGATCGAGAACGTTCCACTGGGACAGTTCAAATAAGGCAACTGCTCACTCTCTAACCAATCAGTGTCTTTGCTTTGCTTCTGTGTTCACTCATCCTATAAAGGCTCCCCCTCATGCACCTGCAGTGGAGCCTGGAACCACTTCCAGTTTCAGCTGCTCGATTCATCAATCACTGTCTGCACAAATACTCTTCATAATTTTAATGTGACAAAGTGTATCCTTTTAGCAATCTGAAAAAGGATGAGGCGGGGATGAATAATAGAAACACTGTCAGATTCAACATAGTCAATGTTAAACACATTTTTAATATGATAGCTCTTTGTTGATTATATCAGTCAAAGCTACGTCTTTATTAATGAGATACCTGTGTGGTTCTATTACAGAAGCAGGCACCATTTGTGCTAAGCAAATACCTGGTAAGCTAAATAGAATGTCCCTTCAAACACACCTCACTGACTCCCAGACACAGGCCCAGTTGCTGACTTTCTAAGAAACC